TAAAACTTGGAATAAATGTGCCTTAGATCATGGCGGAGACCGTAGTGTATGTTAAATGCCCTCTCACAACGTTGGGGTGGGGGGATGTCGAGAAAAAGTTATTTTACTACAGACTCACATTAAAGTAAATATTTCAAATAAGTAAATACTAGCTGTTCAAAGCCATTTTTTATATAGAAAGCAATTCGTGCTTTTTCCAACGCTTATATTAACTCACTTTGTCTCTTTGTCTGTCTGTGTACAAATTTTACAAACGTTATTTCTCATACACCCATTCTCCTGTCAAACTTATTAAAAATAGATTTATATTTATATTATTAGTCTGCATTTAGGTCTCAGTCTGTTATAACTAATTGCCCTTAAGATTTCTGTCAGCAAAAAAAAAGTTGCTTCCTGGACTGCTATTGTCCCAGGTTCGAAACTTGCCCGTCGTCATTTGCCACTGTCCAGAGGTAAGTTTGGGCTTGGATTTATTCTGAAGGGGCATCGTAAACATATAAAACACTAGAAACAAACGAAGACAATTGTTAATATTGCATTAAAATAGATTAATTAACAAATAATGAGCTGAAAAGCATCTACGGGAGGTGCGAAGGCTGAGCGGTAAAGCGCTTGGCTTCCGAACAGAGATGCGGGGTTCGAATCCTGGTGAAGACTTGGATTTTTAATGTCGGGATCTTCAGCTCTTCTGAGTCTACCCAGCTCTAATGGGTACCTAACATTCGTTGAGGAAAAGTAAAGGCGGTTGGTCGTTGTGCTGGCCACATGACACCCTCGTTAACCGTAGGTCACAGAAACAGATCACCTTTAACATCATCAGTCCTATATACCATAAAGTCTGAAAGGGGAACTTTAGTTTTTTTGTTTATGGTATGGTCGCTTTAAGTAACTAATGTATGTTTTTTTAATGTTTTTTTTTAATGCAGGCCAGCTACAATTGTGCAACTACGGAGATTCTAACAGAACAGTAGTAGCGCCACTTGGTTCGTCAACAAACGTCTCAATCTGTGTAATTAGCAATATCTCCGAGTCACAATTTCCTATTTTAAAATTCAACAACACATGGATATATCGAAATCGAGATAGTTCAAAAAATATACGATTCACGTGGGAGAAATATACTAGCGGCACAAATGTCTATTCATTAACATTGTTTATTCAAAACATTACATTGGATCACTATGGAAATTGGACTTTAAGGTTAATAGGTCCAGCAGGCTTAGGTTTTGACTTACTTATGAAAATTATTCCTTCAGGTAATAACCTATGTTATAAATTAACGTTAAAATTTTATGATATAAATTAAATTTTATATTTCACTTACTTTTGTTTCATTGTTTTAAATAATTTTTTAAAATAAAGATCGAAAATTTAAACTCATAAATATCTCAAAGTAAGTACATAAATATCTCAAAGTAAGTACATAAATATCTCAAAGTAAGTACATAAATATCTCAAAGTAAGTACATAAATATCTCAAAGTAAGTACATAAATATCTCAAAGTAAGTACATAAATATCTCAAAGTAAGTACATAAATATCTCAAAGTAAGTACATAAATATCTCAAAGTAAGTACATAAATATCTCAAAGTAAGTACATAAATATCTCAAAGTAAGTACATAAATATCTCAAAGTAAGTACATAAATATCTCAAAGTAAGTACATAAATATCTCAAAGTAAGTACATAAATATATAGTTTTAAAACTATATTTTATAATAATACTAGACATATATTACCCGCGACCCGCGGTTCTTAATTTGTGTATCACTGTCGATATATCAAATATGCCAATTCACGACAGTCACTGAGAGTGTTTTGTAATCAATTAAACGAAATAATAGTGTTATAAGTAAAGCAAATGCGTGAATGTAAAAATAGTGTCAATGAAGCTATCAAAATAACTAATCGACCTATCTCCATTTTTTCAAATAAAAACATTTGCTTGTAGGCCTACATATATTTGATTAAAATATAAAATGAATAGACTTAAATTTGTATGTTTATGTGTTAAAGTATAAAGTAGATCTTAAGTTAAACATAGATCTAGACATCTAGATCTAGACTAATCTAGAGTTAAAAGTTGGCTAGGAGAGTTCATTCTGCGCTGCGAGAAGGCTTAGCTCTGCGCATGTGTGATTTTTTTTAGTACGCGATTCATGAATGAATATATCTCAACACAGCTTTAGCAAACGAATGTATGAAAAATGCTTTAGAAAAACAAATTTGAATGTTAATTTGATTAAAATATGAAATGAATGGACTATAATTAGTATGTCCATGTGTTTAATTATCATACTATCTTTGCGAAGAGAAGTTCTGTCATCTTAGAGTGGAATAAGAGTTTTAGACCTAAGAATAGAAAGATATGTAACATTTCACGTAATGTCTGATGAAAGAATGTTCGTCAGGAATTCTTAATTCGCAGATATAGAATACAAATTTATGTAAATATGCATTTGAAACACATATTTAAAGCTTAATTTTATTAAATAATGAAATCAATAGATTATATTTTGTATTTTAATGTGTCAAAGTAAAAACTATCTGCGCAAAGTATAGTTTCTAAAATTAGATCTAGATCTAGATCCTTTCGATCTTTTCATGTCAATGTGGTAAACATAGCCTAGATCGATGAAGTTATATTGCTTTATAGAGTTGGTCAACTTTTTTTTTTGAGGGTCTTAAGTTTGTTTTAGGGCTACAGTGTATACACTACGGTCTAAGTTAGTACCCAAGGAACATTTCTGCCAAGTTTTATCAAGATTGGTCAAACGGTTTTGATTTCTATTCCTAGCATACATACATACATACATACATACATACATACATACATACATACATACATACATACATACATACATACATACATACATACGCCTTACTATCTACTTTATATAATAGATAAGGGACATTTGAGGGCAACACGGATTTTTGTTGTGGTCACTGACTCATCTGTACTACAGGCTTTGCAAAGCCCTGGACTATCCCCCCCATATCGACTCTGTCATCATGGTTTCACACAACTTAAAGCAGCGCTATGGCACCCCTATAATAATGCAGTGGGTACCGAGTCACATAGGTGTGACTGGCAACACTATTGAAGACTTCTTGGTTTGTGATGCGGTCTTTCAATACCAAATTTCTAAATTATAAACTTTAAAATAGTAGCCTATGTTTTTATTAAATTGTGAAGACCATTGTCATTCTTGAATATTAAAAAACTCTAAAGCTTCACAAATCTAAGATGATAATGTCACACTTTATCGTCATTTAAGCATTTAGCGCAATGTGGGAGCTCACATTACGAACTGCCACGTTGAAGAGTTATGATTCTCCGACTGAATGCGCAATAGAAAGTTTAATAAAGCCTCACGCTGTCGCCTTGTACATAGAACAACAAGATATTTGTCTATTATTTTAGAGAAAAAAAACCTGTCCTCAATGTTATTGCTGGAGTACACTAGCTTTTTAATAAATTGCATACTTTAATTTTTTTTTAATTTAATTTTGGGGCCACAAAATTCACTCCACCTCGGGCTGTCAATTCCCTAATGCAGGCCTTGTTGCTACACTCATGTTAATATTTTACATTTCGATTTATTCTGTTTATTTTTTTTTCCAGGACAATTTATTTTCAAGTTTTATTTGGAAGACAACGATGGACTCCGATGTCATGTGAACTTTTTTCAAAAAATCATAAAAATAATAAATGGATTTACAGGACGTGTAATGATAATAAAAACTATAACTGACAGAATGGAAGAAACTACTTCTGTTTATGGCTCTTTCCAACAGACTGATATGGAATGTGAAAACACAGGAGTTTACATATGTGTCGTTACAGACTTAAAAAACAATGTCAACCAAAGAAAGTTAGTTAAAACATCGCCAGGATGTAAGTTAATCATACATTTTAATTTTGATTACTTTATGACAGCCTATCGAATTGTTTTTTACCAACATGAACAATTTTAAATAAAGTTCTAACATAATGTAACTTACATTTAATTAACTAATTTTAACATATTTCGAATTTTCATGTTTTTAAGTACGAAAAAGGAACAAATTATTATTCATTTAAATATAAATTATATTTTAAAGTTTTGATTCGGTTTAGCTGTCTGCTACGGTGCAGTTTTGGAATAAATGTCTATGTTAATCTTAGACATTATTCAGTTTTATATATTTTCATCTTTACCTATCCCTTAGTCTGTTGGACCGTGGGGCACCATGGAAGATTTGTTGACCGTCTTTCTCCATTCCTCTCTGTCTTTTGCCTAAGTTAGAACCTCTTTCAATAGCAGGCCCGTCTTCCCATTGCTTTCTTTGTCTGCCTCTTCTTCTTTTTTTTTTAGTTTTGTTCCCTGAAGGAAGATATTTGTAATATTTCCATATTGAGAATGTTATCATGGGGTACAATCTCTGCAGTAACCCTGTCTCTAATCTCTTAGCTTGTAATGCGGTCTTTGAATGTTATACCTAGGATACCATTGAGATAGATATCATATTTTTACGCCTGGCCGTCAACATTTCTGCTAGCCAAGCATAAATTAAGTCCTAATGTAATGTATAAGAATGAAATTTGTAATTGTTAGATTTAACATTTTTTAACCTTGCTATAAATATATAGGTATTTAGAAAGACTTAGAAAAAGATCTGCTATTAATTATGTAGACAATCCAAAGAAGTCTTTGAAAAGCGACTTTGATGTAAAACAAACTATCAAAGTCGTTGTTCCAAGTAGCATTGTTCAGTGTCATTAATCTGTAAGCAATAATTATCTGGCGTCATTGTCTTCACTGTGCTTTATGTATTCAATGATAATATTGTACGTCAGTCAAGTTATTATTGTAATAATGTGCAAGTGAGTTCTATTTTGTTTGTTCATCACTGGATGACTTAATTGAACTTAATCTGTTCTACACTGTGTATCTTTCTCTCTCATTCTTGCTAGCCTCTTTCTCTCTCTTTCTTTCTCTCTCTCTCTCTTTCTCCTTTCACACTCTTTCTCATGAACCACCATTTTGTTTTCTTTGTCACCCTGCGTATCGTAAAATCTCCGACAGCTCCCCACAATACATTTATTTTGTTTTTCTGTCGTCTAAATATATGGAACTCAGTTTTATTAATTGTAATCGTTTAATTTTGTATTCCTTTTAAATGTAAAGAAATGGCAAAGCTACAACGTATCATCTCTTGCTCTATCACAATAAAAAAAAAAGAAGTAGACTTTAATAGATCTTTAATACATCTTTCTTTTTTATGCTTTTGAAGTATTAGGATTTTCTTTAGTTTATTTATACTGCGTCTAAAAGGAAGCGGAAATGATGTCAGACACATTTTTTTTTAAGTAGACATAGATAAAAATGTCTTTAAATATAGATTTTGTGTCCTATTTCTTTTTATTTATTTTACATAGACTGCTGTCTTTTGGTAAAACAAAAATAAAATACAAAGGTCTGATTGAAAGCTTACTTTGTTTCGCTAATTCCGGTGGTTAGGTTACGAATCTGTCAAAACCGGTTCTTATCAAGCACTTAGTATTTAAATAAAAGCTGTGAACGAAATGCAAGCGAATTAGTAGAAGGGATTATGGAGTCAGTCAGTGGTAACTTAGAAACAGAAAGTAGATGCACACACGTTTGTTTAGGCCCCACAGATGCATTTAATAGTGCTCGTGACCAGAACTTACAACAGAAATATCTTTAAAATACCTTTGTGGAACTTTCTGTGTAGGCAATAATGGAACGTGGACACACATCTCGATAACGGCTCTAACGATTCGTTGGCCACACTGGTAAAACTTTATTTTGACCGAGAACGATTTCGGGTATTTCCGCATGTTGATCTTATTTAGTCAAGTGTTTAATAAATGAATGTTGAGGAACGTGTTCTAACAATAAGTCTAAAGGTTTTTCATTGGGAATTAAAAAGTCTAGTAGATGTATGCATTCTTTCTCGAGGCGTGGGGAAGGGGGGAATCTGGTTGTTAAAAAAAGTGTTTCATTTTTTTAAAATCTGATATTCAAGGTCATTAAGAGCGAAATAATTGGTCTATATATGAAGGTATAAAGGTTTCAAGTCATATAACTTAAATCGTGCCTTACATTCGGAATTTCCCAAACGCGATACTACTTTAAAGAACGTGATTCTCATTTTAAAACCAACGTTGGATCTAAATCTAGAGCTTGTTCTCTAGTCAGATATTTTTTTTTTATTTTACTTTTAAAATTGTAACGGTCAGTCTAGAGTTTTCGCAGTGTGGCCAAAAAGTTAGTAGACTAATTATTATCTATGCGATATACATCAACTGTTAAATTTTAAGAAAATCGTTAGAACCATTTTTGAGATTTGTGTCCAGGCTTCAGATTCTAACCACTCTCCCCGCTTCCTTCATGAAGTAGTGATTTAAATAGAGGAATTGTAAAAGTGCCCTTATTATAAAAAAAAAAAATTAAGCAAGGAATAATGTATGCATTGGAACTTTATAAAATAGTCTTGAAAAGATACCCATATTCAATAATATTACTTTGGTACATCAACAGGTCCTGTCAAGTTCTGTGACGCTACTTATAGGACTATTCTCGATGCAACCGTCAATACAGCAGTTAATTTTAGTTTATGTTTATTTTATAACGACAATATCGAACTAGTAGCAGTAAATACACCTACAGAATATATAAAATTAGTAAGCGAGAATTATTATGAGAGAGAAAATTATTTGCTCCTACACTTTCTTATAGACAACGTCCATCAATCGTTTCCTGGTAACCATACAATAGAACTTATAACAGTGAATGAGAGAAGTGACAAAAGAGAAAGCCTAAACAGAATGATTACAGTAATAACTCACAGTAAGTATTCGATGTATAGAAAAGTGAGTAATTAATGAAATAATTGGTAATAGAGAATATCAAGCCTGGGTTTATAGTTGGCTCCTCATGTCTTGGAAGACAAAGGATGCGCCCAGGTGAGCCACTGGTTTTGGTTTCGTCTTGAGACGGGACAGAATCTGGTGTGACTGATCAAGCCAGTTCTGGAGCGGCAGAGTTTGCCACAGTTCGTGCATGTATATGCATTTGTCTAAAAGGGCTAGCTGACACGCAGGTTGTTTTTTTTTCTCTAGACTGATTATTATTTATTGTTTAGTATTTATTTCCCTAACGAAACAAAAATGAATAGAAAAACTGTCCAATTGTTTTGTCAATTAGTCAAATTTAATTAATTACTTTCGTGTTATATAGAGACAGTTCTAGCTAAGGAGATAAAGTCATGTGTAGTGAATTGGATCGTCGTCTAAATAATCAAGACATATAATATACAACTAAAAACCTTCAATTTTTATTTAAAAAATTGTCTAGCTCAGTGGCTAGCTTGTCCATGAAGGGGGCATGAGCCCTCAAGATCGAATTTAAGACGAGCAACTTGCTTCTCATAGGCCAGCACGGAAACCTTCTCCCAGATTTATTCTCCTGCCCCGCCCCTCCTACCTATTCCACCAATGGATAATTGGATCATAGCACACTGAGCAGGCGAAAAACATAAAATTGCGATGAACAAAATCAATTGGTAAAAATATTTCCCATCGCACAAATTTAACTATTGTTATTTTTTCTAGATCTACTACTAATTAAGAATATGATTAAAGTTCAAATTATTGCATAATAAAAGATTTGTTTTTTAAAAAGTATTTTTTCTTATATTTTACTTGTCTATTTCAGCTACTTTTGAATTGTGTAATGCAACAAGTAATAATACACAGCTGATGGCCAGCCTGGACCAAAATATAACTATGGAGATTTGCATTAAAGGTTTTTCGAAATACTTAAAAAGTGTTGCCATAAATGAGCGCATATTTAATTTGAGTGACACTTCTGTTCAAAGTGGTAAACAAGTAGTTATCAGGACAAACTCCTCAGAAACGTATTTCTTGCAAGTGACAATTTTCAACATTCAACAAGATACTCCTACCTCTTATAATGTGAAATTAAAGTCTATTTACCAAGACGTTCAGTTGTTGAGATTTAGAATACAACTGGAAGGTAAGCAAGGTTTATGTCTCTTTTTCTAATTACTTCTTCAATTGTTTTTTGCTGTAAAATAATTTATTTTCAAATATTTTCCTTTTTAAGTAAAGAAAATCAATTTATGGTCCTTGCTTTCGTTTTCGTTACTAGTTAGGAATTGCATTTATTACTTTTACAAAGCTTACATTAACTCGCTTGCCGACCTGTCCGTCTGTCTGGCCAAAATATTATATTGTTACGATCTTCTCTACCAGACCTTCTGTAAACACTGCTAAGCACACATCATATCTAACACAAGAACTTTACAACAAGAGCTTCAATAAACAATGTGGAGGTTTAATTACAAATGCATCAACAGCCAATAAAACACCATTGAATTCACTAACTTAAAATGCTTTAACACAACAGAACTGCCTAACTAATCACTACAATTCTCTCTAGCTCGTACAGCTACATTTTCATGGACTCTTAAGGTACCACACAGTCCTTACTGCTTGCTGTGCTGGACTCAACTGTCCTTTCTTACACATTGTCTCTCGACCGTAAAGGCTTTCGATCTCATAACCATAACACTGGTCATATTCGCGTCTACTAACAGTAATATCCCTTGTTTAACAGTCGTTGACCAGTGTGATTCCTCTTAGTCTCGTGTGTCAGTAGGTCACACAAACATTAACCCTATCAGTCCGCCAGTGGAGTTATTACAATACGTTATTTCTCTGACACCCAATTTCGGATCAAGTTGAAATATTGCACAAAAATTTCCTTTACCTGACAACACAAGAATCAATTTAAAAAAAAAAAAAGTTAATTACCTATTGGTAATATTTTTTGATATCTTTAACAAGGGAAAGAAATGGTACCTTATTAATATTATGGAGTGTGTGTGTGTGTGTATTCATATTGTGACGGTGTGAAAAGGTTAGCTATTGGTTGTGAATGATGCAACATACCTGGCATTGTCGTCACTTGGTCTTAGTTAGGAGAGACGACTCCAAAACGTTGTGTTATTATTGTGAATTACAGTTAGTTGAATATATTATTACTTTAAGTCTAATACATTTATTTAATTTGATCACAAGTTTATTTTGTCTCTATTATAAATAAAGTTCTATTTTGTTTGTTTACAAAAGGAATTATTCAAGTTATTTGAAGTTTTTTTAGTTAAGATACCGTTTAGTTGTCTACCAGTAGTTTGGCCCAACAAGTCAACGACTGGTTAGAACAGATGAAGTGCTGGTGTAAGCTGAATTAGTCTCCTGTATAGATTTACGTCTGAGGCTTAGTGAAAACAAACTTGAAATAGAAACATTACATAGCTATACAATCTTCCATTTTCATAGACTCTTCTCTAGTAGAGTGGTTACCACGTTACGTTTTGTTCTATGACGTATCAACACAAAACGTCAACGTCATAGATTATAATTAATTTAATCTTCATGAACACTATCAACACTCTTTCGTTTCTATTCCACTTTTTTGGTTGTCTCCTCCTTTCAACACGCATTCGCACCATTCCACTTTGACACTAACATGCACACGTTACACCCACAAGTTCCAATTCAGGTCGTTCCCTTTAAAAAAAAATATTAAAAACCCAGATACCCCGTTCCATCTCCCCCTAACCCTTCTAACTGGTCCAGTCACGGGATAGGATCATAGGGTAGTGAGAAAGTGATATGATCAAAGCGTAGTGAGGAAGTGATAGGACCATAGCGTAGTGAGAAAGTGATAGGACCATAGCCTAGTGAGAAAGTGATAGGATTATAGCCTTGTGAGAAAGTGATAGGATCATAGCGTAGTGAGTAAGCTAAAAGCATGAGATTTCGCTAAACAAAAAAAAATTAGAAAAAGCAGCATTTCTAATCACAAAGATTTATTATTGTTTGTAGATCTATTATAAATTAAATTACATAACTTATCCAAACTAATTGATACACATAATATAAGCTTTCTTTTTTTCATTGTTTAAAATGTGCTGTTATCATACACTAATACGTTTAATCATATACAATCATATTGATATATAAAAATTCAATTTATTCATTTGTTTGAAAGATTATTTAAGCTTGTGTGAAAAAGAGAAGAACTTTACCTCAATTAAAACACAAATGTATGGAACTGTTACCATCCACATCTGCTATATAACAAACTCTGGTCCACTACAATATTGTGGCGTAGACAATGAAGTTTATACAATCAATGACTCAGAAGACAAAGAGGATATATATGTCAGTGTTGAACAGTTTAATATTGGTTCAAAGTACTTTATGCAAATTTATATTAGAAATGTAATACAGGCAAAAGTTCACCGTGTTCTGCTGAAAACAAGTAAAAGTCGAAGTTTGAGCTATGCAGTAAATGTCTCAATATCTGCAGGTAAATATGCAATTATACAAATATCTTAATATATTAATTATTCTACCAGAACTTGTTATAAGATATATTTTTTGCTTTTGGAAGATTTAGGATTGTCTGCACCTTAAACATCATCTATCCCTTTATTCTGTTTGAAAGTTGGGGCAGCACGCAAGATTGTTCGACTGTTTTTCTCCTTTCCTCTTTTGTCTTGGATAGAATCTGTTTTAATATCAGGCCATTCTTTTATGTTGTCATTTCATCATTTTCTCCTTGTACCTCTTTTTTTCTTTGACCTGGTACTGTTACATAAAGGAAGGTTTTTACATGAATAAAATAAATGAAACAAACCTTACAAACATACACACAAACATAATAAAAATTTGATATAGAAACTAAAGTCATTATAATTAACAAACAAAAATATTTAAAACAGAAGCTTTTAACTCAAAAGTAGACACTTTTGGGATATTTACGACAAAAGTGCACATTGTGTATTGC